TTTTTCAGATTATGCAATTTCCACTTATAGACGTACAGATCTGTACTCAGCCAGACTTGAGGGAACTCTCCGAAGATCTCCAGAGCTCCCTCTGTGCAACCCCCTATTCTTTGGTGCTCTGCTCCACATATTCTAAATAGATGGACCTCTCAAAATCTGATCTTTGACCTTCAGCTCAATGAGATCAACCAGGCTCTATGTGGGTTCCTCCTCCCTTTGTTGAGGCCTGGAAAGTGGATCTGGGCAATAAACTGGTATAATTTTAGGGCTCATCTTACTGATTTTCCTTCTCACAGCAAGTAGAGTCCTTAATTGTTTATTGTCTAATATTTGAAAATCATTGTTTTATATGTTTTGTCCAGTTTTCTAGGTGTCTAAGGCAGGAATTTAAATCCAATTTCTGTCCCTCCAACTTGGCTGGAAGCAAAAGTCATCCAAAACTCATTTCAATTCTGCTATTAACTTTCACTTTTGTTAATTTTTCTTGTCATCATTCTCCATTTAAAATTTTCTATGATCTGTAATTCACAGCCTGTTCAGTCCTTAGAGTTTCTTGTCATTTAATTAATGCCAAGTCTTTCTCACTTTCTGGGATGTAGGATGCACACAGCCTTCAAAAGATCGTGGTTCCAGGGGTGAAACATTACGAATTTTGAAAAATAACCAAAATTCTTAACAACTCAAGTGAAAACACTTAGATTATTATCACAGACTCTGTCAAGGACTGACACCATAATTCAATATTCATGCCTTGGTTAGTGCCATGCTCGATTCTTGATGCACAGTGTTGAGCTTTTTAAAATAAGCCATCAACTCACATTATATTAGTGGGTCTTATTCTGGACATGGTCCGTGGATGCGTTTAGGGGCTACCTGAACCCTTGCAAATTGATAGAACATTCTGTGTATGTACTTTAGTTCCATACCTCTTTGTAGTAGTATAGGGCCCAAGGAGACAAAAAAGTTTAAGAATTGCAAATGAGATTATAAGCTAGCTATTACTTATGCATATATTTGATCTGAAGGAATCACTAAAAAATTTTATGAAATTTTTTATTTTATTTTATCTTTTCTTTTATTCACTGCTTGATTTTTTTTATATTTTCTGTGTGTTTAGAATTTGTAGTTACAAAGAAATGAGTTGCAGCCTTCAGAGTGTGCTAATCTTACTCAAGGCTTCAGAGATGAAGATGACATTTTTTTTTTTAACTTTCATTAGCAATGTGATCCCTGCTATTATTTTAAGGAATAGTTGGGAATAATGATTGGCAAGAAATAACTAAAAATTCCATTTTTCACTAGAATTTCTGAGCCTCCTCAAAAGTTTCTGTTACTTCTCTGAAATCTCAATATTATTCAGGGAGAGGTAACTACAAATAAAAAATCTATATTCCATGATGTGCTTTTTCTCTCGTAATGATGATATGATGGTGAGATTTGTTAGTGTGCGGGGCGTATTGATTCAAAGGAAATAATCTGTTAACTGCAAAATGGTTGCAGTAAAGAACATTAAATCTATGTTTGACAGTGTTTCACAGAACATGTCTTTTTACTAAAAATACCTTTTTTAAAAGCTTTTTGTCCTTCTCAAATTGATACAAAAGAGTTTGGCCTTTTTACCATATTATTGAAATTAAAATGTGGATGTTTAGTATATTTCAACAATTATTGAAGCATAATTTAATTTAGATACCATAAAATTCATGCATTTTAATCGTACAATTTAATGGTTTTTAGTAACTTTACAGGGTTGTGCAACTATCATTACATTCCACTTTTAGAACTCTTCTATCAACCTCGAAATTCTCTCATGCCAGTTTACAGCTAACTGCTTCCATCCCCAGCCCTGGTTAACTCCTAATCTGTTTTCTAGCTCTAGATTTGCCTTTTCTGGAAATTTCACTAAGATGGAGCTATAAAATATGTAATTGTCCACATCTGAATTCTTTCATTCAGTATAGCATTTTTAAGTTTCATCCATATAGTAGCATGATTGATAGGCTGCTCCATTTTATTGCTCTAGATTGCATTCTAAATCAACCTAAAGTTCATTATTGCCACTAGCGGGATATTTTTTTCAATTCATTTTCAAAACGTTATATATGTATTATATAAGGATTTATTTTATGTGAATGTGAAATATTTTAGAGAATACCTTTGAAAATATTTTAAGGGAATTTTGAAATATAACTGAAGCATGTTTAATAATTAAAGGGAATTGGAGGTAACAAATATTTATGACTACCTACTCTGCTACAAACAATGGGATTACATAGATATTTAAGACACTATATCTTCCTTGAAGCTGCCTCTATAGAAAAACATATGTGCTAATTCTTTTGCACACCATTTCATATCCATTTATTTCTTGCTGTGTAACAAAACACTCTATATTAGTAGATTAAAGCAGGGTTCACAAATTATAGCCCATGGGCCATGATATGTGGTCTGTTTGTGTGTGACCTATAGACTAAGAATCTTTACATTTTTAAATTTTTATTTTAAAAAAAGCAAAGAAGAATATATGACAGGGAACACACGTAGCTTGCAAAGCCTGAAATATTTATTATATGGCCCTTTACAGAAAAGTACAAAGTTCTGTACCCTGGCTTAAACAACAATTATTATTACCTTTGAGGATTCTGTGGGTTGACTCAGTTCAGATGGGTGGTTCCTGCTTTGAGTCTTTCCTGTGATGCCAGTCAGCTCTTGAGGCTGCAACCACTGAGCCTGACTGATTATTCATTCACGTGGCTGGCATATGATGCTTGCTGCCACCTGGGAACCCAGCTGGGACAGTCTACCAGAAACCCACCCTTGCCTTTCTACGTGACTTGCACTTCATATTTTCACAGCATGCATCTAGATTCTTAAATGGAGCATCCCAACAGTAAACATTCTAAGAGAGCTATGCAGAAAATGCAAGAATTTCTGTTGGAAGCCATGGAGCGTAATTTCTGCTGCCATCTATTGAATATACAGCATCAGCTAAGATTCGATGCGGGAGGCGTCCATCGCCTCGGGGAGTGGACACTGGGAGGTTAAGGTTCACTTGCAGGGGTTGGGAGGGGGGGCTTCTTTGGAGACTAACTTCCAAGTCCCCTCTGGATCCCAATGATTCTCTTCCCTCTCAAGTGCAAAATATACTCAGCCCCTCACAGGACTTCCAAAGTTTTATCTCCTTATGTTCTCAGGGTCAGTTTTAAAGTCTAGAATTTCACTATCAATCAGGTCCAGGTGAGAATGAAACTCTTCAACTAAGATGCTCCTTAATCTGAAGATCTACAAATCAAAGAGACAATTTACCTGCCTCCCACACACCCAGTGTAGAATGGGAAAATGTGATTAATGCCATAGACACATCCCTCTAAAACGGGAAATAGCAGGCACATAGAAGCCATTGTTCCAGAGCAATTCTGAAATCCAGCTGGGCTCAGGTGATAATTCGCCCTGCTTTGGGTGTAGGAAACTTATGTGGATTAAGGGCCAGTTCTGCCCCCTGGGATTTGTTTACTTCTGGTTTTGGCTCAATCCTTTGGGCTGTCTGCTCCAAAATGAGTCATTCCTCTTTTTGCTGAGGAAGATAGGCCCTGAGCTAACATCCGTGCCCATCTTCTTCTATTTTATATATGGGACACTTGCCCCAGCGTGCTTGTAGGTCCGCACCCTGGATCCAAAGTGGTGAACCTCGAGCCACCATAGGGAAACTTGAGAACTTTACTCCTGTGTCACTGGGTGGGCCCCTAAAGTGAGTCCTTCATTCTTCTCCGTGAGAAATACTCCAGGCTCTCAGCTGAGTAACTTTCACAGCCTGCTTCCTGCTCATAGAAATTTGAAGGGCATGAGACATCTTTTCATTTTAACTCTCTGTCCCTTTCAGTATAAGTTGCTACAATTATTTTAAAAAAATTTGTTCCTTTTTATATATCATCATAGTACACATTTTTATGTCAGCCTCATTAGACTAGGCCCACGGGCGCATTTCTTTCTGAGACACTCCCTCCTCTAGCCTCTACCACCTGCATGATTTTTAGTAGTCCTTGTCTAGTAGAGAACCCAACAGGCAAGTCCCTCAGATTCGTAGCAGACCTTTTTTCTGAGCAAGAAAAACTAAGAAGCATACCCTTAAGATCTTTGGAAATCATTTTATCTAGCTGAGAGAGTCTAGAAAACATGCCCTTATTATTCTCAGAAGTCATTATTTTTTAGTTGAGAAGGTCTACAAGGAACTGTCTTAAATCTTTCGGAAGCCTTAACACAGGGTTTACAGACGCTCTCTCAATCTGAAATTTATCCTGCGGCCACATTTCACAAAAAGAGCCCTGAGTTTAATCTTTGTCCAGATGCCATTTCTTACTTTGAGAAACTTCTGCTGTCTGGAAAGACTAGGTATGAGAAATAATTCTTTATTTTAAGCAAGTGATGGGGTTCAGGACAGGCCGCCCTAAGATGTGCTGCTTTGGCATGTGGAGTATTTTGAGCTGAAGGCAATTCAGACTCTGTGGACTCTAGAGAAACTTTCACTGCTCTCTTAAAGAATTTAAATTTAGAGCCTCGTCCATAATGAGAGTTCTTATCAGAAATAACTTTTTATGATCTATCCCTATGACAGGGCAAATATTTAATTACTGAGTATCTGCTTTCTTATCATCCTGTGAATTACCCTCCTCTTCTCTGAAGCCCCAGGCCCCTATTCCATTCCTTGGCTCAAGGTGGTATGTAATATAACTCATTTTACCTTTCTGTCTCTGACTCTTTCACGTATATGGGGTTCCTGTATGTACATAATAAATTGGATTTTCTCCTGTTAATCTGTCTCATGATATTTTAATTATTCTACCAGCCATAAGAAGCAAGAGGGGAAAGGGAGGAATTTTCCTCTCCCCAACACAAGCAATTTTTTGTTTCTTTTTAAAAAATTTTTTAAATTTTTTGTTTTTTTAATTGAGATTCATAATAGTTTACATCATTGTGAAATTTCAGTTGTACATTATTTCTTGAAAAATATGGAATGCTTCATGAATTTGCGTGTCATCCTTGCACAGGGGCCATGCTAATTTTCTCTGTATCGTTCCAGTTTTAGTATACGTGCTGCCAAAGCGAGCACAAGTTTTTGTTTCTTATATTTCCTTTAAATTCTGATAAGAAATTTAACAGTATCTTCTATAGCTCCACTTTCTCTATGTTTTTTCATATTCAGCTATGATAAAATAAAAACAGTTGACACTTTTGATATTCTGCCAGAAAAAAATCTCCTGAGCTATATCAAATGTCGTGAAAAATTGATGTAAGTGGAGCCATTTTAAAATAGAGCAGGAGCAGCCATTCCAGAGGGACTGCCTGGCTTGTCTTGTTCCTGGAAACTCGGACTGGGCCCAAATGGCAATTGTTTTACAAGTCAGAAGGAGGACAGACATCCTGATGACAAGACTGACAACTCTGGACTTTCTGAAGATAGAATCAATAACCAATCATGCAGGCCCAAGGGTTGCTTAGCGTGTCAGCATCAATGAACTCTTCTTAAAAATATCTTATCTCATCTTCGTCCTTTTTCCCATAAAAACCCTGAGCCCCTCTCCTGTAATCGGGACACTGTTTGGGTTTCTACCCGAGTCTGTCCTCCCTGAATTGTAATTCTTTAATCCCAAATAAATGCGTTGTTTCTTTAACTGGTTTCTGATTTTTGTCAGTTGACAATCTCATTAGGTAAATGTTTGATACCACAAACAGTAATGCGTCATGGGGAAAATGGTCAGAGAAGTCCTCCCAGAGTGCAGGCAGTGAAGGAGTGAATTATCTGCGGAGAATTTAAAAATAATACTGAAACTAACTAAAAGTAGTTCTTCATTCTGTTATCACCCTTGAGCAGCAATTCTAAACAATGTCATTGAGAAAACGCTCCTCTCTGCTGGGGCAGACCACTCCACTACTCTCTCCTGTGTTTATGTTTGGATAGCACTTCCATGATTATATTTTATGATAAAAGGGATTTTGCAGATGTAATTAAGTTCTCTAATCAGTTAAGTTCATCAAAGAGGTAATATCCTGGGTGGGCCTAACCTAATCAGATGAGCTCCTAAAAGAGGATCTAGAGGTTAGAGACAGAAGAAATCAGAGAGATGCAATCCTGCTCACCTTGAAGAAACACATGCATGTTGTGAACTTCCGATGAGGGCCAGGTGACTTCATCTTCATGAGACCCTGAACAGAGAGCCAGACACACATATTCTGAGATAATAAATAGGTGTTGTTTTAAGCCACTGGATTTGTGGTAATTTGTTACGCGTCAATAGAAAATTGGTACAGTTGGGTTACATTTGTGATGCTATGGTTTACTATGGGATAATGGTTAGGAAATGTGGGATGATGATAAGTTATAAAATTAATTGCACTATAACATAAATAGTTATCAACTATTTACATGCTAAATGTTTCTAAAGTAGAACAAAAGTGCTCTTGGAGATAAATATACCATTCTTTGGAAATACAGATGATGAAACAATTGCTTATCCCCGAAGCTTTCGAGGCATCCTGCATCATGTTGACGTTTGAATTAGACCTTGAAGGGCGAGTAACAGCTGGCCAGGCTGACAAAGAAGGAAAGGACATTCCAGAATGAACAGCATGAGTTGTCCCCCTGAGTAAAAGTTAGTTGCTTGAGATTATGGAAAAGAGACAGATTGAGCATTAAAGTGGTTTTAATGTACAGTTCACTTCACTGCAAATAGTCTAATTTTAGAGGATACAATATTTTGTTTGAGTTCATGGATAAAAATTTCTTTTAAAAATGTGGATGCCTTTCGGAAGAAAAGCACTACAGACGATTAAAATAAGTCCCTTGTGTTTCTTGACTTTCTTATTGGTTAATAATATCTAAACTGTCAAGCTGGGACAGGTCAAAGAATTTTAAACTAGAAATAATAAACATTTACTCAGCTATGACAGTAGTCTTCACACAAATGGTATTTATATCCAACTTTAAAGGGCTGTATGCTTTCTATAGGTATATATGTGGCCCCACTAAAAAGTTTTATGAGAAATCCTGAGATTTATGGTGTATGAGATGCTGTTTTACATTTAAAATGTTGTCAGTATTAAACTACACATACTCTATGTAAACATATCATAACCCATAATAAAATTATTCTACATTTGACATCTCAATTATAAAGTAATGTATTATTTTCATAAGAAAGCCATTTCAGATTAAATAAAAAGTTTGAAATACTTCTGTTTCTTATTTCATTATACATCATTTTTATGTGAAATCAGTAGAGAAAACACGCAAAAAAATTCAGTGATGAAAAATTTAATCGGTTCTGGACATACAACAATATTGAGATACTAAACCAAAAGGAACAAAGTATAATTGTGCCTTTCCCCCTCTAATTTGACGTGCCACTGAGATGAGCCCAGGCACTTGTACAGAGTAAGAAAAGTATGAGCTAGCCACAAATTTGAAGATTAAGTTTTCATAGTGGATGTACTTAGTGAACCTTCTAGAACGGAGCTCATATTTTGTGTCTCTTCATCTCCTTATCTCAGTTTTAAACTTGACTGCTTTACTCCTTAACTACTATGGCTTCTTTATTCTATGAGGAAACTGAGGCCCAAAGAACTTCACAGAATCACAGAGTCTCATATTTGGAGTGGAGCATAGATGTCATCTAGACCACTCTTCTTCTGGTTTATGTCTTGAAGTCATAAGAACCACGGAGTGACATCCTTTGAATATTAAAGATGTCATTACCTCTTAGAGGGAGCCCTTTTAGGCTTGATATCTAGAAAGCATCCTCGTCTTGAATCAAAAGACCTTTGGAGGCACACAGATTAAGTCTAATGCCTTTCGCATAAGACAGCCTGTCAAATATTTAAATACAGCTCTCATCACTGAAGTCCACTATCTGCTAGGCTAATTCCTTGAGTAGGTTAATGGTTGAGTGGGGGTTAAAGTTCAGGTCCCATTCTGCCCATACTCTTTTTTCCTCCCTGCACTGTCTAAGGGGCAATTCAGGCTGTGTAACTAGGAAAGGGTAAGTCATCAATGCATTCCACGAAGATCTTCTCATAAATTTTTACTAATATTTTTATATAATTGAATTTTCAAAAAATGCTACACAAATGTTTGCATTTAGAAATTGCAATATAAATCATATGTGATATTAAAGTTATTTTAGTTTATACAATTTCCAAAAGGTTAGAATGAAGAGCCTTACAATGTATGGAGAGCATCAAGCCAGTTGAGACGACTTTCTGGAATAGTTGGGCGTACCCCTTCTAGAAAGAAAGAAAGGATATATATTGCATTTAAACCCGCTTCCTAATTGGCCACCTATAACAGCTGCCCAGCACGTACAGATTGGCTCACACATTTTTTCACTTCGCTGTAATGGTCAGTTAGGAAACCATTTAAAGCTACTAGATAGGAAAGTATCGTGACTATGCTTTTCTAAACTGTCAAGGGGATATCATAACACTTGCAAAGGCATTTTTAGCCAGAATATTATGACAGTCTTAACAGTTGACAGATGTGATTTGCTCCTATGTTGTCATGGTTTTTATGAATGTGGAAAGATGTGTCATTAGAGAGGAGGAGGCCTGCCAGCTAATTAGCACGTTAGACGCTCCATCAGCTTTCTGGTTTCCTGCAGATAGTATAGTTCAGTATATTCAGATTTATTTGGCATAAAGAAATGACTCTTCCTTTTAGATTTGAACTAGTATAGGTAAAAAATATAGTGTCTTATGGTCTGAATGTTTGTATCCCCCCAAAATTCGTATGTTGAAAATCTAACACCCAATGCAATGGTAATTAGGAGGTGAGGCCTTTGGGAGGAGTTTAGGTCACAAGGGCAGAGCCCTCATGAATGGGATTAGTGCCCTTATAAAAGAGACACCGGAGAGCTAGCTAGCTTGCTGGCTTCCGTCACATGAAGATACGAGAAGTCTGTGGCCTGGAAGAGGGCCCTCACTCAACCATGCTGGCACTCTGATCTCAGACTCTACCAGCCTCCAGAACTGTGAGAGAGAAATTTTTATTGTTTACAAGCTGCCCAGTATGTGATATTTTGTGACAGCAACCTGAACGGCCGAAGACACAAGGTAAAAGAAATTGTGAATTGTGTTCAAGATAGATTTATATTTCTTTACTTTAATTTGTACTTCATTAATTTTAATGCATTTCCTATTCCTGTTTACACCTCAGAGCCCAATGTAAATGCCACAAAGTATTACTTGTCTGACTATCAAAAAAGATCAATTTAAGCTTAGAAAATGAACACTATATTTACATAGTTATGTGTTATTTTACCCATTTTCAATAAATTAGAAGGAAAATGCCTCATTCTTGCACAATATGACAAGAAGTTCATTGTGGAACTAATGGTTCTAAGTGATTTTATGTGGAACACTGAGATGGTTTGTTAGTAAATCAACCGTTCAGTTGTTAGAAGGATATAATTTTGCGACACTTTTGTCAGGGAAGAAATTGTAAAGGATTGTGGAAAGAGATCACTTCCAGCTCCGTGTGTCCAGGTTTCCAGGATTTTACTCTAAGCTCTATAGACAAAAATAAATACATCTGAACTAGGATTATGAGTTGCATGTTCCTGTTAACGTTTAGTTTGCAAATTAAGCAAATCTTAATCTGGGAATATTGGTCTCCTCCAGTTATTTAACAAATTGTAAACTAGACAAATGTGGAAAGTTGTCCACTTGGTAGATGAGATATACAAAAACCAAAAATAATAGAAAAAATCTTCAATGAGTTTATGCAGCTGAGTGGTCTTTTCCCCTTTTGTCTCTTTATCGCTGACCTGACTCCACGGAGTCACAGTTACAGGTATTGCACAACCCCTCCACCTCCTCTCTGTGGTGACTCATTTCCTCTGCTTAGAAGCACTCGGAGGCCTCCTTTATCTCAGATGAGGAGACTTCTATGGGATCTTGCCTATCACGACCCCTATTATTAAATGAGACTTTTACATTCACGCGCTACACCCCTAGAGGTCCATAAAGGTCTTAAACAGCCCTGGCTATTCAAAGCACTACAACTGATGTCAAGCCCACACGTGTGTTTTATATTTCATTTCCCATCTTCACTTTCAG